TCGCTGAACACTGGTAGTTCGGTCCGAGGTTCGAATCCCGCGAACGGGCTGACTGCATGGGTGTTTTCGTGGTTTTCCCCATGTGTAACGTGTATACGAGCCAGTTTCCCTTAGAAAGTCCTCCACGAAAGGCATCCCTCCCCTTAGGCAGATAGCCCTCGAGGCTTTGCCGTAACTAAATAACCTAACCTAACCATTCTCAAGCTAGAAGCGTTGTTTCATTGATCTTCCCATTAGTTATGTAAATATAAATTAGCTGTGTCATTGGAAAATCTTGTATGAAAGGTATTTTTCGCAAAACGGATACCCACTTCCTACTTTGCTACAAAGAGAAAGAGTTCTTCCACAACCTGTTTTAATTATATTTCTTTTCAGAATTATCTCAATTATGTAAAACTTTTAGTCGCTTTGAAGCAGGAAATTTAATTAGAATAAACTTTGTTCCAACTTCAGAAATTAGAGGAAGACGAAATAATTGACAGATACTCTTTGATGGGATAGAAATTACTTTCAGAATATTTTAGTCGGAAAAGTACAAATGACTTAACTTTGCATCAGGAATTTAAATTACGAAAATTGTTTGAAATTAGTCTCTTTTACAGCGTTTGCAATTTATTTCCTCCGTTAACAATTGGTCGTTTATATTGTAATTGCTTCAAAAATTGTGAGTTAGCGGATTACACTTTTTAATTATTTTCACTGATTGCTTCGTAAATCGAGCGACAAGCGTGTTTTGAAACTGTGGTTTCTGGAGTCCAATTATCGATAAAAGCATCGTGATTAATAAAGTAAGATTTATATAGAAGTATAACAAAATTAAGTATTTCGAGAATATTTTCCGAGAAACTGTTAGTTGTTGAAGAAAAGTTATTCCTTAAAAGCATTTCTTGCAACTTATAAAGTCCTAATTATATAAAGTTAACACAAAGTTCTTCACAACCTGCTCAAAATCGGCCGAGCGGTGGAGTCGACGAACACTGGTAGTTGGGTACACGTTTCGAATCCCGGAAAGCGGTCTGCCTGCATCGACATTTTCTTCATTTTCCTCATGTAGAACATATATACGAGTCAGTTTCCCTAAGAAAGTCCTGTATGAAAGCATCTCTTCCCTTGGGCAGACGGCCCTGGAGTGCTTTATCATAATCAAATGAGACCAAAACCAAGTATTCAGACATTGGTAGACTGATAAGCGAATTATCGCTCCGTCGAAGTAAATATGACAGATACTTATGAAAGTTTAAAATAAACCTTTTCTTAAACTCGAATTTAAACTAAAATCACTATTTGTGCGTACAATCAATCACAATAAACTTTGTGGTAGTAAAATAACTCAGAGATGAATTTAAGATATAAAAATATCGTAGCGGAAGACTACACAAAAATTTGCCTAACTACGCTGGCTCAAATTTAACGGCGCGATCTAACGTCGGCTAGCAAAGGGCTAATGCCGGAATATTAACCTCGCAGAGCTGGGTGGTAGAAAAAAAAAAGGCTGAAAGAATCGTTACCAAGAGTTCTATCTCTAAACCATTCGAGACCCTTAAATATTCTTAACTTATTTACAGCTTGGCGAGAGCTAACGGGAAGGATACAAATCATAAGAATTGGTTAATTAACATAAAATATCTTATGAAGTGACAAAGTAAAATGCATATTGTAAAGATACAAATCATAACAATTGGTTAATTAACATAAAATATCTTATGAAGTGACAAAGTAAAATGCATAAATCCTGTCACTCTACTAAGCAGCAATAAAAAATCGTTTCGAAGAACGTTATCGAATTTTTCTACGACAACTGCCAGAGAAATTTCAGGTATGTTAAAGCAGGTCAACAAAACCGTAGTTGCAAATTATGGCATTCAGTAGTACCCAGAACATGGGTATAAATTCCACAGTCCGCTTTATCCCAATATTTGCAGTACGATATCGTAATATTTGCGGTACGAAGCCCAAGATCGATACTCAGTGGATATTCATCAGATTGATACTCAGCGGTACACTTCTTTAATATCTTCATTTAGTGATGAACGTTGACTCTGTTTACCCCTCTACCAGTAGCTATTCTTTGCAATAATGCTTTACTTTTACTTTTTTACTATGTGCGTTTCAAGCAAAAATTGTTTTTCAAGTATTTATTCTGCAACTCTATATCACTGGTACGTCGTATCACACCAGATGTTATACAGACAAAATTAATCTCGACTTGCATTTTTCTACTCGGCATTACTTATTTTCATTCTAAATTATCTCGAATGTATCCTGCATATGTATTTAATTTCACAGTCATGAATTTTTCCCGAACGTTTGAACTTTAGTTTTGCACTGTGAAATTAACTTTGATCTTATACTTCTGGTGACCTTATCTTCTTATACTTCTACTGAGCTTTTATTGCGAATTACTGATTGGATTTGAATCTTTTCTGTCACTGTAGGTATTTATTTTAATTTACCATATTTCTACATCATCTGTATAGATAAATGCATATCTGCAAGGACAGTCTGTTTTTCTTCTGTGAATATATTCATAATGTTGAGAATTTGAATACAGTACATTTATTTCCTGATTGGCTACGTAATCACGTGATCATTGAAAATTCAGCGAAATAATCACTGAAAGACATTACTCATCTACTTTCCTGCAATTTTCCTCGTTACTGTGCATAATATTATATATATATATATATTGCATCTGACATTCAACTTCTATTGAAATTACTTTTTTTTTACTACTGAATGCTTCTCTATAGTAACTGTGACTGAATATTTACCCCGTTTCTGGTTTGTCTATGACCTCACATTGTCCGAACATTGTATATCCTTCTCATTTTATACCGCAGACATCCAGTCGAAAAGTTACACGATTGCGAATTTTCGAATGGCAACACGCACTTTTCCTTCCACAAATTGATCAGTGCATTGGAAAACAATTTAAGGCATCGTGACGTCTGTACGTACGCACGTTGGTATGTATATCTCATAAATAAAAATGATTAACCATAGAACGTCGAAATTTTGTATATGCAACTGCTCTGTAGTATCTACGTTTGTACCCCCTTCTATCCTTCGCTATCCTTAATCGTAGTCATACACTTCCAATTTAAAGGACAAAAATGTTTCTGTTTGGCAATGTCAAAAAAAAAAAAAAAAAAAAAAATTTGGGGGCAAATAAAGAAATCTAAATTTTAATGCGTTCTTCCTGTTCCTGTGCCTATACTGGCTACCTGATCATTGAACCAAAGAATGTGAATGAGTTCTCTGATTCCATCCAAATTCTTTGATTGAGCTATCAGAAAATTCTTAGATTGAGTCATTTGATTGAGATCTATTTAAGGCTATGCTGTGTTGGAAATATTGAAATTTTTTTTTATGCAGATAAAGTGGAAGCAGTGAATCTTATGGCTTTGAGGCTGTACAGCTGAATGATGATTCGTCTTTCGGGGAATGAAATTTTGATCCTGATCGGTTTGTTTTATATGAGAATAAATTCTCTCCAAATTCCGTTCTTCGAATGGGGTTTTTGTATTCTTTAGTTCTTTTGAAAGACGAAATTTTTTTATAATGCTATCGAATCTTTGCAATCATACATATTTTGGTGGAGATGTTTACTCTATCAGTACTACTGTTCCTTCTAATCTGTTTGGTGAACATGACGTGTTCTGACTAGACAGTGAGTTTGACTACAAACTATGTACTATGGAGTGTAGCAAGAATGATAAGATGAGAAGGGTTAAATTGCCTCTTGTTTTCCACGATATTACAAGCGCTCCCGCGCTTCGGGATAGACCAACCACTTGTGTCTGAACGTAAAAAAGAGACTAACTAAAATTTAAATAAAAGCTAAATTTGAATACTTTACACAAATGACTAACACTAAGACTGATCTTTTAAATGTATTTTAAATGTTTTCTATGCAGTACGCAAACTGCGGAAAACTACAATACGTCTTTAGATTTCGAGAGGAATTTTATTCCTCTGACCTTAAAGGCAGACTGTAAAACTGATGGCAAGCTCGCGTGAAATCCAGTGGCAAGGCGGCTCACTATCTCTGCATCTAACTCTGCTCTTGGCAAAAAGCCACAACTTAAATACTTAAGCGTTAGCAAGTACAGTTTGCATAAACAAGTTAACGCGTTTATTCTGGCCGGAAGTGGAAAATAAGAGATGATAGTAAAGTTTTAAAATAAAATAAACGTTTGTAAAACTTAAGATCCTTACAACGTTTCATTAGAAAATTGACCTAACACACTGGCGACGAAATTATGTTCCTGTTTATAGCAATCATACTTAAATATAAATTAATAATATTTTAATTAAATTTATTAATCATTTCTTTTGATAAAAGTGTCAATATTAATCCTTTTTTCCTAATTTTTTATTTTCTTTTTCACTTTTCTCTCTATTTTTTTTCTTTTTTCGTCATTTATCGTTTAGTTTTTACGGTTTTTTTGGGAAATAATCTAATTTCCCAGAGGGATCGGATGTAAAGAATCACCGATTATAGCGAATGAAATTATTGGTCTGTAAGTTTGTCCTAGGTTTTTCGGCAGTATTCCTTTTAGATATAAATTTTTCTTTATTAAATATCAGTAATGTTTAAAACTTATGTCTGAGAAGGTGGGTGAAAACTTGAACTTTATAAGTAAGCATTATAAATGAATACGAAAAACCCTCATTAATATAAGTCTGTTTTTATGAACGCAAGGAGCGTAAGAAGGATTATGTCAAAATGCGCACAGTTGAGGGAAAAATATTAGTCGAACAAACAGTTATTTTAAAAGAAAGCAGAAATGATGTATAAATTAATTTAAAAATAAATTTCTTACTTTCTCTGGAATAAAGTTTGAATTTAATATGAGAATCTTAAAGAAAAGTTTAATTTTTAATTAGAATTCACCTTCCTTTAAGACGTCTTTTTCTTAGTTAATCCCATATGTGATATCTGTCTTGGTTTGACTTTTACGTTTTCTATAAAGGAAATAACATTGACTGTTTTTTAGGCAATGCCAGTCGTTTCTGTCAAGAAAATGGTACTTGGTCACCTTGGTCAAACTATCGTTCATGCAAACCTCTAAGAATACAAGAAGACGAGTTTTTGCAGGTAAGATTAATGTTAATTATATGAGTAAATACAGATCAGAAGTAAAGTGGATATCACAATATTTAATTTAGATAATACAAAAAGTTTCCGAAGAGAGCCAAAATCTCATTTTTATTTTTAAGAAATGAATAAGTTCAAAATTAAGAAATAAACGAGGTAAAATAAAATAAATGACCCCTCCCCCCAAAAAAAGAAATGAAATAATATATAATTTATTAAAAGGATGAAATAACATAATAAATAATATAGAAATAAAAAAAATATAGAAATAAAATAAAGAATATTAATCGTCTCAAGATAGACGTTCAGAAGTAATTCACTCACAAAAACTAGGTTTTCATTAAGAAGTTTGAATTAAATTCATTGTTGATTGTATGAAATGAATGACATAAAGTTAAAAATGAAATAAAATTAAACGAATGACTTAAAAAATACTTATCAAATAATAAAACAGATGTTAAAAGCGGAATTATATCCGAAATAACACACAAATAATATGAAAATAATATACAAATAAAATATAAAAATATGATACATAAATAAAAAAACGTGAATCCTCTCAAGATAGAGAATCAAAAGTTATTCATCAATCAGCACAAGGGGTTTATAAGGAAGTTAAAACTGTTATTAGAATAAGTGTCATGATAATTATGTGGAATAATCCAACTAAGTATTTTTTCATCTGTCTGCGCTTTATATTTGATTACTTGTGATATTTCTTTGAATTTTATATATTTTATGCGCTTGATTTTCCTAAAGGTATTATGGGATATGAAAGAGGCAGCTACTATTTATTACGTTGGCTATGGAATTTCTCTCATTGCTCTTACGTTTGCTCTCTTCATATTCTTCCGTTTTAAGTGAGTACTTTGCTTATTATAATTACAGTGGCTTTCATGATAATATGATATTTTAGAGAGTTATGTTGTTTTTGTAGACTAGTTGTTGAATGTTATCTGAAAATGAACCAACATACATTCTCTAAATAAAAAGCGACGCACCAAAATGGAATTAACCGAATGGGACGAAAATCGGTAGTTATGATGTTCATGTATTGAAAACGAGTTGTTAACACAATCACACGAACTGAATGTCTTATTCAGGAAATACAAGAACCCACTTCTGTCCCTGATGCAAGCTATTACCAGACTGGACATGGAGTCGTAGAGCTAACGGAAGTCTTCTTGCGAGATTACGTACCCTACACATTACAGGTGTCCGCCGATAACATCGCGGCAAAAACATCGCGGACGAAAACGTCGCAGAGAAAACAGCGCAAGGCGAAAACGTCGTGCTACAAAACATCGTGGGAGAAAACATCGCAGTTCTAAAACATCGTGGTACAAAACATCGCCGTCGAAAATAAAGCGGTTCAAAAATTTTGCAGTTTAAAAACATCGTCGTCGAAAATATCCTGGTAAAAAATAAAGTATCTACAAATCATCGCATGACGATAACATCGCAGACATGCTTTTTTGCAGGCTTTAATAACTGTAAATGAATATTCCCACAATGATTTGTGAGCGCAAGATGGAAAGAAGGATAATTTTTACTTTTATATTTTTTTATTATCTAATAAATTTTTGCTGAGAAAATAAGAAGGAAACTTAAGCATAGAAAATTATTGCAACTTATAGCACTTAATAGAATTTTAAACTGACATAGTTAACTAACAAAGACCATCAATAAATCATTTTTATAAAGTTTTTACTGGTAATTTTTCATAAAAAGTATAATCTATAAGTTGCATTTATTTTTCTATTCTTAAGTTTCCTTCTTACATTTTCATCAAAAATTTATTAGTTAATAAAAAAAATGTGAAAGTAAAAATTATTCTTCTTTACATCTTGCGCTCACAAATCATTGTGGGAATATCCATTTACAGTTATTAAAGCCTGCAAAAAAAGCATGTCTGCGATGTTATCGTCATGCGATGATTTGTAGATACTTTATTTTTTACCGCGATATTTTCGACGACTATGTTTTTAAACTGCGAAGTTTTTGAACAGCTTTATTTTCGACTACGATGTTTTGTACCACGATGTTTTAGAACTGCGATGTTTTCTCTTTGTGATGTTTTCTCCCACGATGTTTTGTAGCACGACGTTTTCGCCTTGCGTTGTTTTTTCCGCGACGTTTTCGTCCGCGGTGTTTTTGCTGCGATGTTTTCGGCTGTAACCACATTACAAATGGCGAGTAAGTTCGGCACGTAAAGTTGCGGGAAAATTAGTAGTTGGAAGTAGAGATAGGCAAAACTGCTCGTTTATCGGAACCGTTCGCTCACTGGAGTGAATCAGTTCTTTTTAACGACTCACCGCTCGCTAACAGTGACCTTGATGATTGCGTTCCAAACATGAAAGGATAAGGATCGGTAGGCAAAGATGAGGGACAATTAGAAAGAATTGAACAAGGAATGGGATCGCTTGAATCAACTCAACCAGACCGTTCATTCCATAGACTGATTTCTTTCAACTGTACTTTTGAGATCGCCTAAAAAACCTTTCTGCAGAGAACAACAGTAAAATTCTGGAGTTAAGAAAATACCAAAAGTTAAAAAATAATGAAAACTAAACTCACTTTTGTTAAAAATTACATTATTTTATTACTATAATTTATATTTTGTTGTACTAAAAAACACAGTGTAAAAGTAAATTTTTAAATTGGAGGCAGATCGCAAAGAACATGAAACTGTTTACTGACAATACTGGCATTTTTCTTTTTTTTTTATTTAATTTGACAAAATAATACTAAATATCGCTGGAGGTTCTTCTATTCTGCAGTATACACATTTTGTTTTGCAACCTTGAAAAAATATATTAGACGGGAAAATTTATGTTTATGCATATATACTAATTCTAAGGAAGATAAAAGAGAAATTCATAGCTCTTGATTACAAGACCTTAGTAAAATAAGTAAATAAATAAAAATATAATTTATTATTTTACATAAATATTATAGTAATATTGTATAAAAAAGTGTAATACCTAATATACATAGGTATACTATGACACAGTCTTCAAAGAATCGAAATGAAACTCAAAGGAACATCTCTGAGTAAGCGGAAAGAACAAATAATCAAGACTCCAGGAACCAGATTTTAAAAGCGAATAATAAAGTCTCCGTCGGAATCAGACCCTCAGCTTAGTAGAAACGTGAATAATCACAACTCCGAAGCACCCAGATCTGCGACTAGTATCGGAGCGTTAGAGCACTGACAGCTGGGAATCCAAGGAACGAATTCCTATTATCTACGTACTATTTACAGATCCTTACACTGCCAGATGGGAACAAAAAACATCCATTTGCAAACAGGGGTGTTCTGTTTCGCTGAGATGCGTCGATTTGTATGATGGTTTTTAATTACTAGCTGGAACACAAGCAAGCCAAAGTGCATACATAACACACATAAAAAATAGGTCAGAGACGTTTCTAGTAAAATAATAAAGGAAACATTGCTAGTGTTTACATTAAGAGGCATCAAATTTTTAGCACGCTCCCCAACAACATCTCTAGCTGAACTGTTAAAGAACTATCGTTTCGTTTTCGCCAGGGCTCTGATCATTGGTTCAGTAAAGTTGTAAAGATTATGTTAATTTTCCTATTAGTTAAATTTCGAGTTAAAGTTCCTTTCCTGTCTTCCTGAATTTCAACTTAGAACTTCCGGCCTGAACGTATTTTTAGAATCGCGTTTGAATGCAAATTGAGGAGAAGTATTTAACCGCGAAATTCTGCTGTCTTAGTTAGAGAGAACCAGTGATTCTGGCTAGCACGTTTCCGCCTTTTTAGGCTACTCCTAAAAATAAAGCTATTACTCGCTTACCAGTTCTTAAGAATTTTCACATTCAACTGTAGCTTAAAAGTACACAGTACAGAATCTTACACTGGCGCCCGAAAACTTTTGAACACCATGTCGTTAGAGAGCGGAAAGTTTACGTTGACCGCTCCGACCTTTCAGTGTTCATTTCTCTCAGAGGACTTTTTTAAGAAGCATTTTCGTCGTTATAGGCTCTTTAAAACCATGAGACAACGAGTAATTGTCGTCCAAGGCAAGAAGGTGAAAATTTTGGGGGAAAACACCACTTCATGTACAAATTAAAAACGAGGTGCTAAAAGTAAATTTTCTAGTGATAAACGATTTATTCACATCAGTAATATTGGGGGTTGATTTCTTACGCGCAGCTAGCGCGAATCTTAATTTTCAGAATTTTACATTGCAGGTGCATAAGAGGAAGCGTCTATGCCGGAAATAGTCTTAGACCACCTGAAACCCGAAGAGAAAGAAAAGATTGAAAGTCGGCAAGAAAATTTATTTCTTTATTTAACGACAAACGGGTTTCTGTCAGGTTGTTACCCATACTATTGATATGGGGAATGCCCCTCCAATTCGATCAAAACTATATCGATATGATAGGGTCAAAGAACAGATTCTGGAACATCATATAAAAATGTTAGAAAATAAAATCATTGTGCCCAGCACTAGTCCGTACATAAGTCCGGTGGTCCTTTGCAGAAAGAAAAATGGACTAACGTCCGAGCACCCGGACGCGTATAGGTTTGCAATTGATTATCGCAAACTTAATAGTATAACAAAATAGCCCACGTATCCCCTACCAATAATTGATGAAATTATAAGAAAACTTCGTTCCACTAAATTCATGACAACATTAGACCTAATGTCTGGTTATTTTCAAATCGCGGTAAAACCCCAAAGATGTTGAAAAGACGGCGTTTATCACAAAGTCAGGCGTCTATGCCTCCTTAAGAATGGCGTTTGGTTTAAGCGGAGCGCCGGATACATTTAAAAAGCCATGGATATAGTTTTAAGACCAGTTTTGGTTAAAAGTACAATAATTTATCTCGATGATATAAGAGTCACTAGCGAAACGATAGACGAACATATTAAACACTTGGTAAAAGTTTATGCATTGTTTAGTTAAAAATATTAAGTATTTGGGAGTGATTCTTGTCGATAAATTTACATTCAGGCCGCTTATTATGTATATTCGTGAAAAAGTTCATAAAGCTTTTAAGTCTATTTATGCCTTAATAGGGAGACATTCAAAATTACAGCTAAGTACTAAGAGAATTCTCTATCTTCACGCTATAAGACCGATTTTACTGTACGCAGCACCAGCACGAACTGCTACAGCCAGATCAAATCTCCAGATTTTGCAAAGATTGCAAAATAAATTTCTTAGAACTATTACAGAGACACCGTGGTTTGTAAGAAACACTGCAATACATCGTGGAATGAAAATCAAACCATTAGATAGCAAGATCTTAATTGCTTCACATGATTTCTACACCAAATGTGATATCACGAAAATGAAGCTGTGCGTAGCATAGGAGATTATGACTTTACAGTCATTCAACGCTGCAAAAGACCAAGAACGATACACCATAACGAGTTGTGGTGATCGATGTACATAGTGTATATAGTGTTTTTTCTACTTTTCATTATTTACTCTTTGATGTGTATCATGTGTTAAAAATTTAAACGACTGGTCAATGCAACTATGCTCCTCCCACTTCTGTTATATGCCTCGACTAGTACTACGCCTACGATATTTTGTTGGCTTCAAGACACGGAAGAAGGAGGACGCTACAGCCGTAGCACCTACGAGGAGAAAGTTATGCCAAAGTTTTTATGCTATAGATGTGCAAATTTTCTTTTACGATGTTAATGTTATGCTTCAGATATGTTAAATTGCTATTTTACCCAAGTTATGCCACTGTTACATTATGCCACATTGGATGTGAGTCAGCACTTAAAGTGCACAGGTTTGTTCCAAGATTTGGATTTATTTTTTCACTTTTAGGATACCCTCTTACGACAGATAGAGATAGGTAAAGATTTCAG